GGGGGGCAGGGGTTTGCACGTTGAAGCTATTGATAAGTTCAAGAAAACAAGACAAAGGATAGGGTGACATGATTCCCCCGTTTCACCAAAATCATCAAACAATGCAATCGGTCTACATCACATTGCCTCTTTTTGTTGGGTTCGACCGGCAAAAACGTTCCGAGTCATTGTTCTGTAACTTTCTGAAATGAAGAGGTGCCTTGAATAACACTTTCAAGGCATTTGGAAGTACATATTGCTAGACTGTCGCTCAAGGCTCAAATTGGATTTCTATCCATATCACAACAAAGGTTTGCGGAACGAGAAAAAAAGTTTGGATCGCCACCTACGGATTACTGAATGCAGCCAGCTTGTTCAGGGTGTTCAGTAAGCAACACAGTCGGACGGCTGGTCACCTCACAGATCCGGATCCCTCCCCTCCGTTCCGATAGTTACGTCTACATTGCCCGTGGAGCACCGGAGTCAATCACTAAGCACAAGCTTTAGTAACCGCCTAGGCGAGAGCCCGAGATTTAGCAGGCCAGCCCGACCCAGCCCTTTTGCCACCGTTGGACGGGGAAGTACCGCATGTGCATGTCCGTGACTTAAGCAAGAATGGCGAAACGGAGAAGCACACTTGGCACAGTGATGCACGGAGGACCCTACGCAGAAGTGACGCCGAAGGGGAGGTTCAATGAGTTAAATATATAAGCATCTCGATTCCGAATCTTGCCTTTCTAGGAGGATTTGACAGAGGCATGCAGAGGCTGTTGTTCACCCTTTCCCTTGTTTCTCTGCTCTCGCTCTTTTGCCAGGAACCTCATCTTGCCTCTTCCTTCCCTTGCCGATGCACAAAGAGTTGCAGCACATCTGGAAGCAAGATGTCTTAAGACATCCTTATCCGTTCACTGGCTCCTTGCACATCTACATCGCAGATCCACATCTAAAACATCCATATCCAGTTTGCCACAGGATGAGCAACTCCCACCCAAATTCTTCTGGAAGCCTAAAAAACGGCGGCTTCACGGAACGAGTTTGCGAGCTGGGAAACAGCTCGGTACGAGATGCCGTGACTTCTTGGCCGCAACGGGATGACTACAAAGCACGGCCGAAAACTGCACACAACTCGTTGCAGTCATGGATGGGTGGTCAAACACGCAGGCTGGGCAAAGGTCTCCAAACGAAGCCGCGAAGGCATGAGTCACATCTGTACTCCGGAACAACCATGTCGCGAACTCCCACGGCTTATCTTGGCAGGGGATTCCCGCTTCAACCAACAGTGAAGCTGTTCTTGCTGTGGAGTTCTGTCTGCTCAGTCCTTCCGGGAGGGGATGCGGTGTTTGGGCGTTCCAGTTCGACTCGGGCTCGAAATGTGAAGCAAGACTACTGACTACAGTGACTACTACGGTGACCAGCCGCCCCTGACTGTTTCGCCCACGTTCATTCGAGCCCCCACTGCAACGAACGGATCTGTGTTCAGCCAGGCAGCGCATGAGGTTCGCATTCATACAGTGGTGCTTCACCAAGCCTCCTCCTCGGGCTTCATGGATACGAAGCATGCACGTTTGACGTTGGTAATGACCCGGAAGGGCCACATGAAGCATCTCCCGCGGTCTCTGCCACCAGGCATCCAAGAACAATGACTCCAGTCTTTCGGGCTTTCATGGCCTCATCATTCACTCTTCGGATGTCCTGCACCAGATCCACCACAAAGCCTCGGCTGCACTCAAACACCAGTTTCACCGAAACCCAAGCGAGCAGCCCAAAGCAGCTGCAGAACCGACAAAAAACCGTCGTGAGGGGGCAGGCGACCACTTCGCTTGTAGCTGTGGAAGTACAGCATATCCCCTATCGAGCCATCCGTGATCGCTGGGCAGAAAAGGGGTATGTTGTTGCCTCACGTCGGCTGCATGAACACTGCGCATCTTGTTCTCGGGTCGGCCAAACACAAAGCAGTTTCAAGCAAAATCAAGCAAGTCGTGGCTGCGATATGCCCAATAGCAGACCGAGGCGGGGTGGTTGATCTCCTGCATCAGGAGCACACGATGCGGAGCAATGCTTTTCAACTTGGGATCTTCGAGCAGTTTGACGACGAAGGTGTTCCGGAAATCAGGCTGGTCTACTATCTTGCCGCTTGAGTGTCTGAATGCAATGTTTTAATGGACTTTGGATGCGACATTGTGCAGCCCACCTTCCCAAATCGATGAATCATCTTGGACGGAGACCACACAACACCATCGTTTTCCTCGAAGTGCACGAACAACAATCTACACGACATGTGTGGAAAATGCATGCTCTTCTTAAGTCAGTTGGCACAGTGCTTCTATCAGTCTTGCAATAAGGTTGCAACAAAGCTGCCTGCTCATCATGCATGGCATTCAGGATTTTCATTATCCAGTCCTGGCCAGATACGCTGCTAGCTCAATTCTTCGAGGTCTTTCGTCTTGTAAGCAAAAGAAATGGACACTCTGCTCCTCAAACAAACAGTAGTTGTCGTTGGGAGCAAGGAGGTTCCCTCGGCAAAGCTCATGTGCGTGTTCGACACTTGAGGTGCAAGGCCAACTGAATATCTGAATGTAAGGCTTCACAGGTCAAGCAGCCAATTCGATTGATGCCGCGTCGTCGAAGTCCAGTACCATCCAAAGCGAATTCGCCGAGGTGAGTGGGTGCCAGGCACTTGATTATGTCCTACATGGAGAGCGGCTGCATGTGCAGACTGACATTGACATCCTGCTTCAATGAAACAGGGCCTCCTCAATCCCGCCCGCAGTGGATATCATGACCTTGTGTGCTCAGGGTGCAAGCACTCTTCGAGCAAGTCTAACGCACAATCCCGGTAGATGATTAGATTTGCATCCAGACGTGCCTGCGAACTACGCTGAAAACATCTGCGTGTCGAAACATAGGATGCAGATGGTTGCTACACTGCTGCGCTTGCGAATCCATCTCCTTACCATGCTCTTCTATGGTCATCTAAGGAGCTTGAATCATGCTGTGCTGCGCCAGGAAGCGCAGGCACTCCCGAAGCCCCGAGCTGGCGAGAGCTTCAGTCTACGGAACATGCTTCATGCAGGAGTGCTTGCTCGATGTCCCTAACCGAACGAGGCCAAATATTTTGGATTCAAAACTTCCTCGTACTCGCCGGCCAACTGTTGAACACGCAACTGCCTAGTCACACTTCTGATACTCCAAGGCAACCTGAACCTCACACGGCGGCCTTATCAAGTTGGATGTGTAGGACAGCCAAATCTTGGTCTTGACCTTTCGGCGCTCCTCGCGGTCAACCACCATGGCATGTGTTGCCAGCACGACCCTACCTGCCACTCTTCACAACGAAAGGTCCTGACATGAAGCTGAACACAAAAATTGTGGATTAGGAATGATTAGGGATTAGGGTGTCTTTTGGCGAGGGCCTTAAAGTCGGCCACCGATGCATCGTTCCTGTTCTGGAGTACTTGCACGCCATATTCTCCAATATTCCCTGTGGTCCTCCTCCAGTTTGAACTCATCAACCTTCCAAGCTCGGCTGCACCACGACGTTGCGACATGCAGCTGGAACAAAGCAAGAACCCAGACATTACCACGGCTGCAAAAGTTTCTGTCTTGGAGTCTCGTCCCTGAACGCACTGCAAGCCTTTCACATGAACAAGGCCGCGGCTGCAACATGCCTCGTCATCAGGCACCGGATCATCTGCAAGGGACCAGTCCAGCATGCGGTTGACTTCTTCGATGGCCTGATACGTGACCATCATCACTTCGAGGTTGACGCTTTCATGCACAGTCTGTGTGTTGTGTCCTACAGTCGTTCTGCCGAGCGCCTTTGCCAGGTTTGTTGCCTGGAATCCTGCAAAGTCAGTCACGTCAGCACGCAGGATAAGGGATTGCGGCAGAACCGCACTGCATGTGTGCGCAAAAATTCAATGATGCGGTAGCACCCGGATTGCGGCGGTTTCCCGGCACGGCATGTGGCACAGCCTGGCCTGTGCTGCTGAAAGACGATAGGATGCCGTTGAAATCTACGCCTGCTCAGAGCATGTGACTGAGTGCGTACTCGTGCAGACTGGCTGGAAATCTGATTGCTCGGCTGTTCCATGCTATGACCTGATAGCAGGAGACGCGAGGCTCCCCACCCGCAAGATTTCAACCTGGCAAGCCGGCAGGCCTTTGTTGAAATCGTATCCCTCCACCTCCGGAGTTGAAAGCTTCTCACTGCTGGCGAGAACATACTCCTCGCCACATCTCAAGACTCGACATGAAAAATCAGACCCTACAGATCATACTTGAGGCAGAATGCAAGTGGAGAGTGGCTGCTCTACGAGCGACTGACGTCCATGATTCGCAATGGTGGCGACGGTGACAATTCAAGGTCAAACTGATGCAAATAATGATGACGATGATGATAGCATTTTGAGAACGCCGATGCCAAGTTTGGCTTACTGAAATGACAGTGTTGAGCTTAGGCTCGATACGAATCTAGTCAGAGAGGGAAGTCCCCGCTTCATGCATGAGGTCACCATGCTTGACTGCAAAGAGATCCACCGTGCTGCGATCGCACCGCAGTCTCGGCTTTCAACACTCCTGCGTGGTCTTCTTCAGGTACTCAGCATCCACATCCTCAGGGACGAAGCACAAGGAGCACCTCAAACCTTGACAAGAAACGTCAAAACTTCCTGGCTGCTGTATCCGGGCGCGGAAGCCATGGCCAGAAGTATGCATGCCAAACGAAACTAATCTGCCAGCTTATGAAATTGTTGGATCGACTAATGTTGCTCACCACATCATGAATCATCCACGTTGAGATTCCGCTCGGCTCAACGTTGCGGAATATCTGTGCTATAGGGACATCGGGTCACCGAGCTCTGCAGCAACAATCGATTTTGGCGGATGGAGTGATCCACGCCAATTTTGCGGCGAATTGCGACTGTACTACGCAGGTCTTGACTGCGAAACGTGACGAAACATTGGCCACATGCGACTACCACTAGAGTGAAACACATAAGTTCAAAGTATTAGCTGAATTACAGCTTTCATGGAGGTTGCTAGGCCGAAAGCCACAGCCAAAGGCTTCACGGGGCGAGTCCTTGGGCGGCCTGGTCGCAAGCCTGGAGCAAATGCTGCTCCAGACGCTCCTGGGCACTTTTGTCCAGTTGGAAGGTCTTGGCAAAGTTCCGCGAAAGCTTTGCCAAGTCGTCACCCTCGTGCACTCCAATGCGGCCGGTCCGTCCAGGCCCCACCTTCACATCGACATACACCAGAAGCTGGGGACGTATGCTCCGCTCACGAAAAGCACATGAGAAAGGCTGCATTCCAAGCCTTCTCAAACGCTCGTAGTTCTCTCCACTTGGAATCCGATTGCTTCTATCCCTCTGTTCTTCATGCTGCTTGTGGGCATTCTTCATGCGAGCAACTGTCGAGTCGAAGTTGCGAACCTGCGGCCGAGGTGACGGACGAAACGAACGGAAAGACGACACCAGCTGAGGTTTGAACGTGCATTCTCTCATTTCCTCCAATTCTTTCAAGTGCTTAATCTCGTCTTCAAGCTGCGCCCCTTCACGGGCAGCAAAAATAGCCTGGTGGTACAGAAGGTGACACCGGGACACCGGCTTCCCCCCGCACTTCTCCCGATAGTTCCGGGCGGACAGCGGTCTTTGCAATCGCCGGTGGGGTGTTGGAACATCTTCCTGAGAGGCCTCGCGAACCTCGCGTTCTGTTGTTCGACGATGGCACGACTGCGTGGTGGCACGACAATGTCTATTTGACAGCATTCGCGTGAAGGCTTTCGACAGCTGCCACTCCAACTGGTTGAAGCATTCGTCTTCCAGGCTCAACGGTGTCAATGAAGGTGAGGGGCGGTCTGGCTGCTGAGAGAGCGTGTCGAGTGCTGTCAACACAAAGTCGAGAAGCCTGCTGAGTTGGATCATTCCCGTCTCCTCCCTGTCTAGCAACAGAGCTAATTTTTCACAGAATACTTTCTCGTCACGGGCAGAAAGAAAGTCCATCGCCTCCAGCACATCGCCTAATCTCGATCTTGGAACTGCAAGCATATGACTTTGCCCGGGCAACTCAACATAACACTGTTGAGCACACTTGCAGAATACTGCACGGAGCTCACGCTCCAAGCGGGCATGACAAAGTGCTTTCGACATCCGGCCGAGCTTCGGCTGCGACTGCTGCAAGGCACTGAGCCAAGCCTCATGTTCCCGAATCTGCTGGCGATGCTTCCTTTCCTCTGCCTCACGGTAAAGAGCCTCGTCTAAACCTGGCAGCACTGTGGGCACACCCACAGACACCAATGGGCCAGAATCCATCGCATCCTTCCACCCGATCCAGTTGCTCATTGCAGCATGTCAGCAACATTCAAAACAACAAACTGCCCGGACATTGATAGAAGCCATTATGTGGTCGTTCACAAACCACAATGGGTTCAAGCTGACACAAACGCACATGATCTGCCCTCCCACTAAACTAAACCCTGATTGACGTGAGTTTGCCTTGTTCACGTCATAGCTTGACCCAAGAAAAATGAAAAATACTCAAATACTCCATGACAGGCACGTTGGTCATGTTTCATATGGCGAATCACGGCGACACAACTCCTGATTCGGTCGTAGTAGAGTTCTTTGGTGGCTCTTAGAAGGCCAGCTTGTTCGCACTGAAACAGGAAGGCTGCTGTTAAAGGTTTTACGGAGATTAAGGCGGAGCTTAAGAGCTTTGACCCTGGGCGTACTTGGACCAAGCTTCTGTCGGTCACGATGCAATCACGACGGCAGAATCGTAGCAAATACAGCTCACATGAAACATTTGCGGAGCTATTGCAGATCATGAACATTCTCAAGTCCCACGAAAAACGACTTTTTGTCGACTGACTCTGATGCCAATATTTCTGCTTGGAACCTTCTGTACGTGGGGTTCTACTGCCACAAACGACACGTTTCTTACAGTTGCTTTGTTTCGAACTTGAATACATCCCAAGTCCTCTCGGTTGCGCATCAAACCTCAAAGTTCATCACGATGGTTGGATGAGCACTTCTTCAATACCCTGGAGGCCCCCCAGTTGTGAAAAGTCTCGACAATTCTGGACCCAAAAGCCGGCCTGTGGAAAGGGTTTCTGTTCCTGCGTTCACTTTCTCTCACAAGTGTCCCACCCAAGAATTCTGAAAATGGGAATAAAGGAGACGCCAGAAGCTCTCTTTTGGCAAAATTTACAGTAAGAGGAGACCGGTTCAACTGCAGGATTCTCGTTTGAATCTGGTGCGCGTGCTGTTAAAGGAACTGATAGCAACATTTCTGGATCCAGAAATGTCCGAAATATAAAGGGAAACTATGAGCACAGTTGGAAAACTATGAACTGGAAGCTTGCAACAGAAACCTCAATGGAATCCAAGTCGTCGGAAAAACACCAAAAAACATGGAAACTCAATGAAACAAGTCTCAGGAACTGAAAAAAAAAACTATGCTGTAGTCATCACGGGCGTGGGGTGGTAGGCCTTGCGGGAAACTCCCTTTGGAAGGAACCAGGATAATACGGGAGCGGCAGAGGGCGGGAAGCCGGGAATTGGAAGCAATTTGTTCAGACATTGAAAGGGAACATAATTTCTGCAGGGAACGTCTGGATGCAGGAAAAATCCTGCCTCAGGCTCCCGCAGGAAACGGGCTTCCACCAGACAAGATCTTCCACAGTCACAGCAAACTGAAACGAAGATCCAGAGGCAGCACTGAAAAACATCGCTTCTTTTGACATTGGCGACTAACACAACTTGCAGGGCAACTATGAAAATTGCGAAGTTTCGAAAACATGAACTTTCTTAGCATGACTCAAACGTCAAAAAAAAATCAGCTCACTAACATCGCTTCTTCTGCTTCCGTCACTATGAAATTTGCTTGCCCTCACCTTCAAAGCTTTGTTCTCACATCGCGTTGGATGTCATCTTCGATTTAGCCCCTCCCCCCCCCCCGCCTCCCCGCCTCCCTTCGACCCTTTACCCTGAAGACTTCGAAAGCTTCGAAGAAGCCTCCTTCGCTGAAGAGTTCTCGATGCAGCTCCAGCGATTCTGACCGTGCGTCACCTGAAACCATGTCAAAACAACCATACAAACTTGAAAGCACATTCACAGTTTTGTTTGTTCACCCCAAAAAAGAAAAACATTCCAATCTGGACAAGGGATACCAAGCTTAGAATCAGAGCATCGAAAGGCCAAATCCATTTGCTTACTGCTGCATCTCTCTCTGACAAGAGCATTATGCTCGTCGATGTTCATTGTTCCACGATTGCCTCAGTTTCCGAAAAAGACCGAACGACGGTCCGGAGCTCAACAAAACCCTTGGCAAAGCACTGCTACTCACAACGCTCGGACAGAGCCTTCGTTTTACTCACGCGATACGCTAGTCCGGTCTTGAGCCAAAGTAAGGCACAACTCTCTGCAGCTGCTAGGAGTGAGAACGACTAGCAG